TGGTGTTGGAATTCATCATGATGTTCCTCCCTCTTAGCCCTATAAATAGAGGAGTCTTCAAGCTACAAACTCACTTCAGCCATCCTCCACACTTCCATCATTCTATCAACACATCCAGAAATCATCCTCATACACTCCCATCAACCTCATACACTCTAGCAATCAACCCAATACTCTAAACTGCCCCAAATCACCAAAACAGCTCTAGAAAGCCTCCCTTCCATTTCCTTACGAATTTCCTCTTTCTCAGCCATCACCACTCACCCAAACTCATCCCAAATCACCTACTAGCTGTCATACATCATTCTAGACGTGGGGAAGCTCTTGGAGAAGCATTAGATGTGGAGAAGCACTTGAAGAAGTCTTGGACACCACAATAACTTCAGAAAAAGGGTTTTTCTACTCTTATTGCATTCCTTATGTTTTATCATTTCTATCTAAGTTTCTTTTCCATTATGAGCAGCTAATTTCATAACTAGGGCTTCGATGTAACCTAACATGAATATTCTGGGTTTATAAGTTTGAAGTTTGGAGTTTCAAGTTGGATTCATGATTCATGTTCTTATTCGTTATGCTTATTAGTTAATATGCTTGTTTGAATGATTGATCACCATTAGAGCTTGTATAGTTTGAATTAAGAGTAGACACCATGCTTTAATTCAAATTGAACTATGAATAGGAAAAGTATGTATGGACATTCGACAACAGGGATTAGATACATGCTTGGTTGTTTAAATTGTTCTTCTATGTTTAATGGGTTCCTAATGCTTAATTTTAGGTTAGACAACAAATGATCAAATTAGGGAATTAGGAACACAAGGTTAGAACCAAACACCATGGCCTAATCATACTTTAGCTAGAATCAATCTTTGAATATGAATTAGACTTGTTACTTAACTCCTTATAACCCAAAATTGAATTGTTATGGTGATTCGAATGCCCTAGTCTCCAAATCTGTTTTTCAGCTCTTAAAACCACTCTTTGTTACACTTACTTAATTTGCTTTTGTTTGAAATTTCATTTTGTTTCTTTTGTTCAACAATCACAACCACTCTTGCTTTAAATTCTGTTTTAGACATAACCTCCTACTTTCTTGAATTTGGTAATCTAAGTACATAACTAGTTTTAACTTCTCAATCTTCGTGGGTACGACCTCGTACTTGTCTTGTGGGTACGACCTCGTACTTATCTTGCTATACTACTAATTTCCCCGTACAATTGCGAGTTAACATAATATTAACAACGAGAGAGAGAGAGAGAGAGAGAGAGAGAGAGAGAGAGAGAGAGAGGAAGGAGGAGGAGGAGGAGAAGAAGAAGAGATCGATTAATGGTGGAGTATTTGGGAATTACAACTTCAAATCATGATTGAGAAAGAAGAAGAGAAGAGAAGAGAAGAATCGATAGAGAGGGAAGGAAAGGAAAGGATGAAGGAGAAACAAAGAAGAGTCGAACTGTCTGTGGAGAGAGAGGAGGAACTGAAATTAAATTAGGGTTATTATTTACATGTACTATTCGGTACGGTATGACACCAAACGAGATCACAAATCTGGAATCGATGTCGTGCCAAACAGTAACGGGATGACACAGTATCATCTCGTTTACATGTCAACACCAAACGGGACGGCACGATTTTGCACGGTTTCGGGATGGTTTCGATATTCCGGTTTTGATGCCCACCCCTATCTTCTATATTAATATATTATATAGTGTTTTAAAATGAAAGCTCTCTTTATTTAACAAAATATTTTACAGAAATTGATAAAGTGACAAATTAAAGTAAAAAATGAAGTAAGTGTGACAAATTGTCCACCTTTTTATTGAAATAATAAATATACACATTCTCTAAACCTCCGTTTGGATGAAGTAATTGAAAATTACATAGAATTCTAAAATGACGGAATTTAGATTTTCATCATTTCAATTTCTGGCAATTAAAGATTTCAGTGTTTGGATTTATGTATGTCGAATTATGTAAATAATGGAATTTTGTAAGTGGCACCATGGGAATTATGAAATGACTCTTATTTTGGTGGAACTTAAACTTGGGAATTTGATGCCCCAATTTCCACTATTTTTTCTGCGTGTCATTTAATAAAACACTTAAGTTGCCAAACAAGGGAATTGTCAATTTCTCCTCTTAAATTCCCAACATTTAGCTAAATTCTGAGTTATTTTCCCTCATCCAAAGAGAGGGTAAGGATATTTTTGTTCATGAGAAAATGGACTAGGGAATGAGATGTTTGGTAAGTCCATGTTTGGGCTCAAGGGAAAATCTGAAGAAAAATGAAACTATCCATCCACCTTGGGTTTCATTTTCCGTTCACATAGAACACCAAGGCAAAGCAAGTTTTAGTTACATTTTGTTATGACCAACATTCCCCTATCAAAAATTACAAATACCAAGAAAAGCATTAATTACACTTTTGTGTGTGCATATTTCTAATGTAGAGCATCCACAATGGGCTCCCTAAACTACCTCCTTAGACCAATTTTATGGAGGAATTGTAAAAAATACAACTCCAATCATGCTCGCTATCCACCTCCTAAAATAACGAGACCTCTAGGAGCTCCTAAATCTGAGAGGGAAAAGACTCATAGTGGCTCCCTATAATTTAATGCTGTTTTGTTTTATGCATAGTTTAAACTTTTAATTAATGCTAATTATTTTCTTATATATATATATATATATATATATATTTATAGAGATGGACCAATCATATTGAATTAAAAAATAACTATAGTATTTATGATTCCCTAAACCAGAGAGTGTGATTGAAGTTCAAATTTTATAGAGAGCTCCTAAAATAACTTTAGTGTGTTTTTAGCTAAATTTGAACTAAAAAATAGGGAGCATGATTGTAGATGCTCTTAAGAGTATAATTGAAAAAGACTAAACAAAGTTTGTTTCCAATTCTTGCACAAATTAAACCTAAAAAATGAAATAAAATGATATTTTCTAGTTACTTTTTAAACATTACCAAAATGATAAATGAATTTCCATTTTTTATCCAGGAAAAAAAGACATAGGAATTGAATTGATTTTCCATTAATTCATTTTCTCGAATTAAAGGGGCCTAATACCACCTACCATAATTTATCTTTAATAAAAGTTTGTTTTTAAAAAGGGTGTTGATTAAGTAGAGAGGATCGGATCCAAGAGGAAAAATATGTTTTGATTTTGTGGGGATAAGGTATAAGAAAACATATGTTATCACACCCCTTTGGAATCTTGGATTTTCCAAATCTTTATATAATATTTTAAATCATTATGATAATAGTCCAGGAGCTGAGCTCACGTGTTGTGGGGCTGAAGATGCGGGAAGAGAAAGACAGTCTACAATCTTTATTTGTGGTCTATCAACTTTGTCAAGCCCTTTGACTCACTGACTCATTGACTGCTTGGTAGAGAGTGGAGACGTATATAAAGCCGCTCCACATACCACATTTATATTCTCTTTTTAAATATTTTTTAATTAATTTTATTATTTTTCTTTCTTATTCTACATTTACCCTATATTAATTTATTTTTACTTCACTTTTATATTAATTCTTTTTAATTTTCCTACTTGCATTCCATTTTCATTTTTTTTTTCTTTCATTCAGAAAGAAGTAATTAACATTGTATATTGTTAAGGCAGAATTATATGGTCCAGGTGTTGTAAAAACTCATGCCCTAGGAATACACCTTGCAACCATAGTTAACATCAAATTCCTCATATACTCAATACCATAGCTCAAATTAAAATCACAACTTCACTAACATATAAAAAAAGGATTTAATTTGACCAAATTGTATCATTCCACATAAAACATCACTTCAAAATACAGCTTTTGTCAAATTAAAGGTTTGGTGAAATAAAGATGAATCTGTCCATCCACTTCATACATACACGAAAGAAGACTAATTAATTAACAAACTAATTGATCTCTAATAATACTATTTACTGCTGCAAAATTTGATGAGAGACAATTCCTTTTAACAAGAAGACATGTACAATCCCTTATTAATATTCTGAAGGAATAAAAATCTGAGACTATTATACATAAGAATTACCTTGCTCTCTGCATATCTAAGCTCCTAATGAGAGTTTGGTTAGTAGCATTCTTTGGTTCTTCTACATGTAAACATGTTAGCCGAAAAATTTATTATTTATTAACTACAATAAAGATAAATAGTACTCACATACTTGATAAAAAGAACAAAGAATTTGGCGTCCAAATACTTACATTTCTATCCATTTCCAAAAGGTAGAAATAAGATGCATCCAGATTTACCACATCAACCACGCTTGAATTACAAACAATGCTTGAAGATGAGGCCCTAGGAATACACCTTGCAGCCATAGTTAACATCAAATTCCTCATATACTCAATACCATTACTCAAATTAAAATCACAACTTTACTAACAAATACAAAAGAGAATTCAATTTGACCAAACTGTATCATTCCACATAAAACATCACAATATGAGTTGCCAATAAAAATGGTTCGTTGCTAAGAAAATTCAACCACTCAAAAGACAAAAAGCTATAACAGGTCTGAGCCTAAGCTATATCTTCGATTCAAGAACGGATAAAAGTTATAACAACAAATAGGAAAATTCTACAATGGGCGTGGTGTATCCATGCGCCCAAAATATCAGCCATTGGATGAGTAAGTGGAGATGAGGGTTAAATCCACACCATTGAATGCTGGTAACCTGTTAAAAGGGTTGGTGTAGGTAAAAGTGAATAAAATAAAAATTAAACAGAAAAAGAAAAAGAAAACAAGAAAAGAAGAACAGAAACAGAAAGAGAGAAGGGAAGATCGTGAACTGCTGTCTGAGGCTTCTCCAAGAACGGCACTCTCTCTTTCATCTCTCCCTCTCTTCCCCTACATGTGAATCGCTTGATTCTGGAGATGAATTGAGAAGATCTTAAATCTCGATGGCTGGGCATTTTGCGTGGTTCACAAAAAACCAGTGGAAACGAGTTGCTGTTGCTGAAACGTATTTAAGTGGCCATTGCAAAGGTAAAATTAATAGCTTTATTATCCTTGTCCATACTTGAGTTCCCAGCTTTTTCTCAGCTTGCATTTTCCATATGAATGGAAATGGGGTCGGTTGGATTGGCTGTTGCAAGATTCTGTGCTTTCCCTACAGCTTTCTATCATTTTCTCAATAATCAAACCCAACAACTCATTGAGTGATTAAGTTTATTAGTTTAAGCATGCACAAAGAGGACACCAAACTTTTCAATCCCGAAAAAAGAACCCCCAAAAAAAAAAAAATCTTTGTATTATAAGCATATATTAAAATGTTGAATTCTTGATGGTATCTCTCTTGTTTAACAAAAATAAAAAATGAAAATGAAAATTTACCACATGATTTTTATTATCCTTGTCCACACTTGAGTTCCCAAAGACCAGCAATATAATATTTTGCTATATTGATCTGCTCAAAGAAAACCAGCTATTTCTATGGGTGATTTTCCCTCTATGAAATCAAGTAATTATGTTATGAAAAGAAAACCAGAAAAACTAAGCAGAAATTAATGCAGCCCAGGAAGCAACAAAGCAGAAGTAAATGGGTTTTTGATTTGCTAAAAAGAAAACCATTGTAATTTGAGTTATTTCACAGACAAGAAACACAATATGATCAATGTCAATATCTTTCTCTTCTTTAATGTTGGGCATATTGTTGATGTTGAAAAGTTTGTGACTCATTCAAAAAACATTAGATAGAATTTATTAATTGTAATGCAAATGGGATGATATTTGTAGCCTTGCATTTTGGTAATGGAAATGTAAGAGGTACTTCAATATATCATTTTGAATCCAATTACCAATTGGTTAGTCCTATTTTGCAATGATTGTATCCATATTTCCATGTTATTGGTAGCCTCTTGCATTTTGAGAACATATGTGATTTGTGAATGCAATTGACAAACAGTTACGTCTAATTGCATTATAGTCTTGCAATTGACAACTAGTTACGTCTAATTGCATTATAGTCTTGCAATTGACAACTAGTTACGTCTAATTGCATTATAGTCTTGCAATTGACAACTAGTTACGTCTAATTGCATTATAGTCTTGCAATTGACAACTAGTTACGTCTAATTGCATTATAGTCTTGCAATTGACAACTAGTTACGTCTAATTGCATTATAGTCTTGCAATTGACAACTAGTTACGTCTAATTGCATTATAGTCTTGCAATTGACAACTAGTTACGTCTAATTGCATTATAGTCTTGCAATTGACAACTAGTTACGTCTAATTGCATTATAGTCTTGCAATTGACAACTAGTTACGTCTAATTGCATTATAGTCTTGCAATTGACAACTAGTTACGTCTAATTGCATTATAGTCTTGCAATTGACAACTAGTTACGTCTAATTGCATTATAGTCTTGCAATTGACAACTAGTTACGTCTAATTGCATTATAGTCTTGCAACTGACAAACAGAATAGTCTCTTTGCATTCTTGTCGCGCAATTGCCATTATATGTGCACAAGTATGAAATGTAGAATCTCTCAGTAAGGACTAATCCTTCATAATTTAATTGTATGTTTATATTTCTACTAAATGCAATTGATGTGTATCCATTTATGTTCATATTAAATATTCCATGGAAGACATGTTGCCTATTTTCAGGAAATGGATGCAGAAGCAAGTAAAACGAATGGAATTCAGGGCCAAAACTCTGTACCTAACAGTGAAGGTTATTTTGCAGAGGCTGAGTCACTTGAAGAAACTGAAAATGCCCCATCTTTACAGATTTTGGACAGTAGAACAGAAGAAATTACTGAGAAAAGCGGACAGTTTGAGTATGATGGGTTGAACTTCCAAAATATGAGCATTGCTGATTTAGCGGAGAGAGAGTTTGCAAAATTTGAGGAAGCAGAAAGATTTTACTGCAACTATGCTCTTGCAATTGGTTTTAGCATAAGAAGAAGTCGATTGAGACGTAGCGAGGGTGGGGTTGTGATGGGAAGACAATGGGTGTGCTCAAAAGAAGGGAGTAGATCAAAGAAATGGACGAATAGAGATAATATGGTTCGTACACCAAGGAAAGAGACTAGAGAGAATTGTCATGCTACATTTGCTGTGAAGTATTGTCCTAAACGGGATGCTTATATTGTGACTAAATTTGTAACGGAGCACAGCCACCGACTTGCTAACTCTCGTGAGGTGCCTTTTCTTCGTTCGCACCGGTGTGTTACGGAATCTAACATAGCACAATCTATGTCTATGAGAAAAGCCTCTATTAAAACCAATCGGACATACGACTATATGGTTGACCAAGCAGGTGGATACATGAAAGTGGGGTTCACCAGTAAGGATCTATATAACAGGATGGATTTCGAGCATCGACAAGTGGTATTGGATGGTGATGCAGAAGCAGCAATAAGCTACATGAATGCCAAGGCAATAGCGGATCTGGAATTTTTTTGCATGTTTAGTGTAGATGAGGAGAATAGATTGGCAAATTTCTTTTGGAGAGACTCTCAATCTCTACACGATTATTGTTGCTTTGGGGATGTGGTGATATTTGATAGCACGTACAAAACCAACGTATATGACAAGCCTTTAGTGGTGTTTGTTGGTGTAAACAACCATAACGCGACTACAGTTTTTGGTTGTGCATTTCTTGTTGATGAGACTGCTGATACATATCGTTGGGTACTCAGAACTTTTTTGACTTCTATGAAGGACAATAAGCTTGTATCTATTGTCACGGACGGGGATGAGGCAATGCGTGTAGCGATTGATGAAGTTTTTCCCGATGGACATCATCGTTTATGTACATGGCACATCATGAGGAATGTGAACACCAATGTGAATAACCCAAAAATTGTAAGGGAGTTTAGCTATTGTGTGCATGGTGGTTTGACACCAGTGGTGTTCGAACAACATTGGCAGCAAATGATAGATACATATGATCTAAAAGGCGATTGGATCGAGATGATGTATCGTAAACGGAAACGATGGGCTGAAGCGTACTACTCGAGGCATTTTTTTGGTGGGAATACCACCACACAACGTGTCGAGGGTATGCATAAGAACTTGAAGGATGGAATTGGTAGAGGCATGAAGTTAGTGGAGTGTATTCCATGGATTGAAAGATCATTATTGAGGTTGAGAAATGAGAATGTGAAGGATGACTTTGATTCCAACAATTCACACCCACTCCTTCGTACGCACCTCCGATCACTATAGGAACATGCAGCTTCTATTTTCACTCACGATATTTACAAGTTGATAAGAAATGAGATAAACAAGGAGGCAAAATTAATTCTCGTGCAACCTGTAAGAAACAATGAAGATCCTCGTGTTTACACATTTTCCAAATTTGGAAGACCCGATGAGAAATGGACTGTAGTGTACTACAAGAAAGAGCAACATCTGCAGTGTTCGTGCAAATTATTTGAATCCAGTGGAATTCCATGTTGTCATATGTTTGGAGTCATGAAATGTGATCATATGGATCAAATACATCCGTCCGTAATAATGAAGAGATGGACAAAGGATGCAAGACGTGGGAGTGAATTTGTAGTCAAGTCGGATGATGTTCCCAATGAAACTATTCAAATGGCTAGGTTTGAGTCATTAAGCGCTGATTTTAACAAGCTTTGTTTTTATGGGTCGCAGACAGAAGTCGCTTACAAGAGGCTAAAGGCTAAATTTGGGAGATTAAATACTTTGGTTGAGAGATGGAAGGAGCAACATGAGCAAACTAGTCTTAATCTAGGATGCCATAATAATGTTGTAAGAGACCCCATAGTTGCTAAGACAAAAGGAACGCAAACAACGGGAAGCAAAGGCAAAAAGGCCCCACAATGCGGAGAGTGCAAGGTTACTGGTCACAACAAAAGAAAATGTCCAAAAAGCGTTTTGTTGGTGAGAGAGGTAAGCGGAAAAGGGGTTATACAAGTGACAGGAGCGATATTCTTTCTAGTTTTGGACCACAAGATGATACAACTGTTGGAAACAAAACATTTTATTCCTCCTCGAGTGCTGTTCATGGGACTAAGACGTTGTCCTCTTCTTATACAACCCCTAACTCGGGCTTCTCATATGGCGAAGTGTCTAGTGGCTCCACTCATTACACCTCAGATGGTTTCACCTTTGAGACACCCGAGTATAGTGTATTGGAATCACAATTTGACACACAAGCCTCACCACCTAGAGATCGTAATAGATTTTGGGTTCCGTTCACCCCAATAAAATGACATGGATTGTAGTACTTCCACTATATATATGGTTTAGCTTTTATGTACGAAATATTCATTAGAACCATATTGTTCATGTATTTCCCCAACTTTTGGCATGACATATATTATTAGTGTTATTTTGTATCTATGTTAATGTTACATGTAGGAGTTTCGGTACATTAATATTGATATATATATTTGTGTTGATATTTTATTATGATTTTGCATGATTAGAATGGTTAGATGCAATAAATTCTATTGTTTTTCATATTAAGGTTAGGTGCTTAATTATGAAGCTACATGGAAAATGGGAAAAATAATATGGCAGAGTTCTTTGGAAATTGCCAGATAGTCAATATGATTTTGCAACATGAAATGGCAATTACACATTGTCTGTTTGTCAGTTTCATTGTCCAATTCAGAATGTTTCACCATCAAACTTTCATAATTGAGTTAGTCAGATATAGTCATTCTTAGTGTTTGTTAAACTACAAATTTGACATAGTTAACAACCAATCTTTGTGGGCAAGATCCTTTACTTGCACCCTTTACTATTTTTCAATATGTGCGCTATTGTTCACAATGTGCACTTGCACGTTTAACTTTGAATAATTTGAATCTATTAATTAGGTTGAAACAAATATTTTCGCACAAAATTCTTTAAATATCAATTTGTATTGTTTATATAGATTTACTACGGTAGTTGATTTATGGTAGGTCATAAAGTTATTACAATGTGGCTTTAAATTTGATAAAAAAAATAAATAAATATAGATAAAGCTCATGACTACCTTACATTATGTCCGACTCACCAGATTAATTTGGAACGTGAGAGGAGTAAGTGTCGTTTGTTACACACGGTTGGCTTGGCTTGGCCTAGACTAAATTTAGTACCATGTTTGTTTCATGTAATTCTAGTCTTATATGAGATTGCTAATACCGGGCCCACCAAAGCACCTCTTTAGGAAGGGACTACTAAACCCATGTGAAAAGGGACGATTAACTTATCCCATGCTCACCAATGTATAAGATGCAGATATTATATTATTATTATTATTATTATTATTATGATTATTATATACCTATATTTATTTATTACATTATATTATACTTACATACACATGTACTATAATGTACATATTGTTCGGACCACTTTGCAAAACCCAAGGGAGGTGTCGCATAGCAGTGTAGCTCAGAAGTCCGAGTGTCGTATCCACAGAGAGCGGTGTAAAGATAACAGAGCTGAAAAAGAACAATTATGATTGAAAAGTAGATTTATGCAAGATACAAGTGACAGGAGCGATTTTCTTTCTAGTTTTGGACCACAAGATGACACAACTGTTGGAAACAAAACATTTTTTTCCTCCTCGAGTGCTGTTCATGGGACTAAGACGTTGTCCTCTTCTTATACAACCCCTAACTCGGGCTTCTCATATGGCGAAGTGTCTAGTGGCTCCACTCATTACAACTCAAATGATTTCACCTTTGAGACACCCGAGTATAGTGTATTGGAATCACAATTTGACACACAAGCCTCACCACCTAGAGATCGTAATAGATTTTGGGTTCCGTTCACCCCAATAAAATGACATGGATTGTAGTACTTCCACTATATATATGGTTTAGCTTTTATGTACGAAATATTCATTAGAACCATATTGTTCATGTATTTCCCCAACTTTTGGCATGACATATATTATTAGTGTTATTTTGTATCTATGTTAATGTTACATCTAGGAGTTTTGATACATTAATGTTGTTAGATGCAATAAATTCCATTGTTTTTCATATTTAGGTTAGGTGCTTAATTATGAAGCTACATGGAAAATGGGAAAAATGATATGGCAGAGTTCTTTGGAAATTGCCTGAACGTCAATATGATTTTGCAACACGAAATGGCAATTACACATTGTCTGTTTGTCAGTTTCATTGTCCAATTCAGAATGTTTCACCATCAAACATTCATAATTGAGTTTGTCAGATATAGTCATTCTTAGTGTTTGTTAAACTACAAATTTGACATAGTTAACAACCAATCTTTGTGGGCAAGATCCCTTACTTGCACCCTTTACTATTTTTCAATATGTGCGCTATTGTTCACAATGTGCACTTGCACGTTTAACTTTGAATAATTTGAATCTATTAATTAGGTTGAAACAAATATTTTCGCACAAAATTCTTTAAATATCAATTTGTATTGTTTGTATAGATTTACTACGGTAGTCGATTTATGGTAGGTCATAAACTTATTACAATGTGGCTTTAAATTTGATAAAAAAATATAAATATAAATAAAGCTCATGACTACCTTACATTATGTTCGACTCACCAGATTAATTTGGAACATGAGAAGTGTCGTTTGTTACACACGGTTGGCTTGGCTTGGCCTAGACTAAATTTAGTACCATGTTTGTTTCATGTAATTCTAGTCTTATATGAGATTGCTAATACCGGGCCCACCAAAGCACCTCTTTAGGAAGGGACTACTAAACCCATGTGAAAAGGGACGATTAACTTATCCCATGCTCACCAATGTATAAGATGCATATATTATATTTTGATTATTATATACCTATATTTATTTATTACATTATATTACTTACATACACATGTACTATAATGTACATATATACACGTATATACACATATATGTAATATATGTATATATATATATACCTACAGTGGTGGATCCAATAATTCTTCAACGAATGGGCAATTTTTAAAAGAGTAAAAGGAATATATATATATATTACATAACCAATTACCCTGGGAATTTAAATAATACCAAAGTTTTGAAAGACGATGCGTAGATGCTAGGTAACTTTGGTCCCGCAAAGGTGAGATGTAAACCTTGCAGGGATGATGAATAAGTCTTTGGAGAACAACAATTATAAATGATAAAATATAATGAAACTAAATCAGTACATCTGATTGAGGGTTAATATTCAATTACATCTAAGTAATACATATTATAATCAATTTCAAAACCTAATATTATCCAATTAGTCATACAATTGAAATGGAGTAGGATGATTCCTAAATTGACAAGAGGATTAGGGCTTGTAAACACATGCGGATGAGGGAGAGGTGTTTAAAAAAAAAACCAACAAAAACTTATGCTGTTTATGTTAATTAATTTTGTTAAATTTTAATTTTTGTAATTAAATAATATATTTGCCTGATTTAATTAGTGAAATTAATAATTATATTTTAATTACTATTTATGAAGTGAATAATTAGTATTCAATATTTTAATTATCTTCATGACTTATATTACTTAATAAATAGTAATTCAATTTTGCTTTTTCTTTTTTTCCTTTAATATTCACTAAGTAAACAATAACTAAAACATAACTATTAATCAAAGTAATAAAACAAAAAAGGTTTCAAAATAACTCAAAACGCATAGTTCAATTGTTGCACCCATAAAATTCAAAACGACGTCGTTTAAGGACAACAAAAACCTTGCGCACCCTTTAGAATCATACGCGCTGTAGCCACCAGTAACCCTCGCTCAGCAACTTCTTCGTCGAGCTCTTCTTCTCCTCTCTCTATCTCTTTCTCTCACCCACCCCAAATCACCCATCGTCAACTTCTTTTTTCGAGTACAATCCGATTTTGGACTCTATTCTTCAAGGTTTCAAGTGTATCTCTTACTTTGTACACAGTGGCGGATCCAGGATTCTCGGGTCATAGGGTCATGGTGTAAAAAGTGTCGAAGTTTTTTTAGGCTAAACTGTTGAGGTATTGTTAGGACAAATGAGTCATTTTCTATCCATTTATTTTTTAAAAATTAAAAAATTATTTATTTCACATTAAAAAAAAAAAAAGGAAACATGGGACTACATTCATTTGTAGATGAATGTTTTTGTAGATGAATTTCCTCTTGATAATTTCCATGAATTTTTCAGTAGAGGGACAATTTTAAAAGGCTAAAGACTTGAAAAACAAATTTAGACAACTAAATACCCTTGAAATTTAAATAATATTAATGTCATTCATAAT